GCCTTTGAAACAATACATTAGGAACCTTCTATTAAATTTTCAAGCTTTCGCAACCAACAAATAAAATTTTATTGATATTTCTAGAGAAAAAACTAAAAAAAAAACTAAAAATGAAAATGTCCCTAAACTGTTCAAAATAAATCAAAATATTTTGAAAATGTTATCGTGTATAGAAGATGCAAATATAAACAACCAGTGAAATTGCATGTGCCTACGGTCATTTGTTTTAAAGTTACACCAAAAACCAAATTCAATTTTCTGAAAAATCGATTTTGCGTAAAAATTCCCGTTTTTCCTTAATTTTTCTTTTGTTTTTCCCGGCGCTCTTGAAAACTACTGGGAAATTTAAATTTTGACCTCCCCAATGCACCAACGATATTCACTTTCCAATCGAACAAGATACTGAAGTCGAAAATCGAAGCATTATTTCGACTATTTATCGTGTACACAGACACAAAAAAAATAAATATAAAAATAAAAAAATAAAAAAAAAACACACATCATTGTAAAATCAATACATTCATCGTTTCACTCAGAATCTAAAATAGTAAATATCAATATAGGTACTAGGATTTTTTTAAATATATTTTGAGCAAAATAAAAGAAAGGTGGAGTTACTGAAGTATAAATAAAATATAATTATTTAAGTGACAAAGAACATAAAATATAAATGGTACAATAGATCCTCGGATATTTAAACACAGTTACCAACATATTATTATTTAAAACCACAATACATTGCATTGTTATAAAATATATTATAATGAACATTTGAAACATAATAATTGAGCACCATTTTCGGAGACTGATAGAAAGTAGATTTTAAATTTTTTTATTTTCAATTAGGTACGAATAAATATACAATAATTGATATTGAAATAATGTCGACTGGGTTTTATAAAAAAGTAAATTTAATTAATAATATTATAAATTATCATATACGTCTTAATATTTTTGTGGAAATATTTAAAAGTCAAACTCATACAATTGCACGAAGCAACACAATTATATGAAAATAGGTATACCTATTTTGTAGTGTACCTAAATACAACATACTCTCGCAAGTATTTTGAAAATTGATAACAACTCACTGTTCAGCTTATAATATTTTTATTTCAAGGATTTTATAAGACGTTTTATGACGGACCAAACCGTTTCTGCTAAATAATTATCAGACATCGTTCCAGCGACATCTTCTTCAAACCGACGGAAGACATAAAATATGTATAATTAAACGTCATTACAAGTCGAGTGGGGCATCGGGCTCGTCGTCTATTTTTTATTTAATTAACTCAAACAAGCGGTATATTATTATAATATTAATGTATTATTATTTTTATTATCGTTATATTATTTTTCTCTTAATTATTCTAAGCCAGTACCATTGTTTACCATGAGAGAACGTCGTGTGCGTGACAATGCCTCTGAACAAAAACACAACGGTTTCGCATCATGGCACAACGGTTGACCGGCGGCTTAGGGGGCGCCGCCGTACGCGATAAAATATCAAATAAATATGAAGTTTTATATGTATTGTTATTATTATTATTAGACTCGCGTTTGTCGGGAAATGCGGAAGAGGTTATTCCGAGCACGAACGGTCCACGCAAAAAAAAAAAACCCTTCCCGAAAGGTACCCATGTGACTGGATGGCTATAACATGTTTATCAATAAACAAAAATAAACAAATAAATAACGTCCAACACGTGTCTGGAAACTTCACAGAGTCAACCAACTGTGTGTATAATATTACGAGCACCACTCGGGGCGTTATTGTTATATTATTCCCAACACCCGACGACCTCTCTTCTCCTCTCTGTGCAGCTCCACTGCAATCTACATCCACCCTCGCGTGGCCGAGACAATGTTCGACGGCTGCGAATACACTATATAAGGCCGTGAACATTATCCTAATAATAGTCCTAGGTGCCCAGAATTACCACTCCTCTCACGTTTTGTGATTAAACGATTTTTTTTTGTTTTTATTAATGCCGATACTAATAACCGCCAAGTACAAGAATATCAGTCCAGACTGTCGTCGACCAAATAACGTCATAAAAATGTTTGCGTAATTACTTTGATGTAAGCGATTATTTTTAGTATTTACTTAACAATTTCAATTCTACCACGTGTGATGTAAATATAAAATAACTATCATGTACTTAGGTATTTTCATAGGTTTCATATTACAGGTACTATATAGGTATGTTGTACAATCAATACGTCAAATGTTAATATATAACTCTGCTTAGAGTCTAAAAATATTTGTAAAGTTGTCCAAGTAGGTTTCATCGTCTAATATTTATTTTAATATTTGTCTTATTATTATTATTTGATTATTTTTGTCGATATTTAAGCTTAAGTTATATAAAATATTTAAGTTACATACCCCATACTTAAATACCTTATTGTATAATAATCCGTTTAACATTTGTTAACTGTTAATATTATGTTCTCACTCGTAAGTGCGTAACTATGATGAATTGAGAACAATAATTAAATAAAGAGTGATCACTCTTATTAAGTAGGACGTAGAATTCAAATAAGCTTATGGATCTGATGTAAACATAAAAATAATATAAACAAATAAATTGTGTTCATTTAATTCCAAATAAAATAGGTAATATTGTCAATTTCATTTAAAACCAAAGGAAATAATATAATACATTTTTATTAATTCAGTTGGTTTTTTTCTTATAATTATTTATGAATACAATGATGTATTCAACTGATGTACAATATGAAAAATAGCCGATAAAATTAATAAATTGTATATGTAGATATTTGGTAAACATTTTTATCTTTTAGGTACCTAATAATATTAATAATTAGATAATTTATTTTCTATTTAGACTTTCATTGCAAGTTTGTATGAATATTTAATTATATAAAACAACTCTAGGGAAATAAATGTGGAAAGAGAAAATAAGATAAATGAGGAGGTTTTATATAACGAATTGGACAGTTTATGACCTTTAATTCCCAAACGTCCAACAACCACTGATATTAAATTAAAAAGTGATATTTTACTAGAATACATGTCTTATCATAATTATTACAGTTATAATAATAGTTTGTAGATCTATCTCTATATATAAATATATATGAAGAATAATAAAGACATAAATAATGTGATCAAAAACCAGCGATATGAACGAAAATAAATATTGCCATAATGGAAGTTTACAGATATTATATACATTGCCTTAACAATTTAACGAAGTTCTACCATATTATGCATTCTATTTTCATAGACATTAATTAAAAATGGTTAGTTCCATAGTTCTTAAAAAAACATATTATATAAAGACATTAATTAATTTTCATAAATATTTTAACAAATTATTATTGCATCGTGAAAATGAGAGATAAGAGATCTATATTATTTACTATTACATAAGGTTTGAAAATTGTAATCATACTAAATATGGACAAATATATTTATTATTTGGGTAAAAATAAATTACAAACCACAATGTGTACCTACTTCCGAAGCGCAAATAAAAAATTAAATTTAACCTTTTTGGGGTATAAGGTATGTGGTGCTTACTATGCATCATAATATGTCTAATGTCTTTATGTTAGAAAAGCACGTATTACCATAAAAATAAAATTTCTATAGATATCATTGCATGCCCGTAGGCCGTAATAACCAACCACAACTTGTAAATATATTATAAGTAGATAAACCAAGATTGAGTACATATTATTATATACATATTATAGACATTTTGCTATGTGAACAATAAACAAATACGATTTCGTTTATTATCCCCTTAGCGTTATGCTTGAACAGTGATGCGTGGAATATTATATTGTTTATTTAACATTTGTTTATCGATTTTATCTGGTTAGTACCTATACTTAAACTAACAAAGTTCTACCATATGCATTTTATTTTCATAGACATTAATTAAAAATGGTTAGGTAGTTCCATAGATCTAAAAAAAGCATATTATATAAAGACATTAATTGCTTTTCCCTAATATTTTAACAAATTATTATTACATTGTGAAAATGAGAGGTCAGAGATCTATATTATTAACTAATACATAAGGTTTGATAATTGTAATCATACTAAATATGGATAAATATATTTATTGCTTAGGTAAAAATAAGTTACAAACCACAATGTGTACCTACATCCGAAACTCAAATAAAAAATGTAATTTAAACTTTGTGAGGTTGGTTAGGCTAAATATATTAAGCTAAGTAGATACACCTATTATAGATTGAGTACATATTATATACGTCATATAATTATTATAGATAGTTTGCTATGTGAACAATAAACAAATACGATTTCGTTTATTATCCCCTTAGTGGTATGCTTGAAAAATGATGCGTGGAATATATATTGTTTATTTAACATTTGTTTATCGATTTTATCTGGGTAGTACCTATACTTAAACTAACAAAGTTCTACCATATGCATTTTATTTTCATAGACATTAATTAAAAATGGTTAGGTAGTTCCATAGATCTAAAAAAAGCATATTATATAAAGACATTAATTGCTTTTCCATAATATTTTAACAAATTATATTATTACATTGTGAAAATGAGAGGTCAGAGATCTATATATTATTAACTAATACATAAGGTTTGATAATTGTAATTATACTAAATATGGATAAATATATTTATTGTTTAGGTAAAAATAAGTTACAAACCACAATGTGTACCTACATCCGAAGCTCAAATGAAAAATGTAATTTAAACTTTGTGAGGTTGGTTAGGCTAAATATATTAAGCTAAGTAGATACACCTATTATAGATTGAGTGCATATTATATACGTCATATTATTATTATAGATAGTTTGCTATGTGAACAATAAACAAATACGATTTCGTTTATTATCCCCTTAGTGGTATGCTTGAAAAATGATGCGTGGAATATATATTGTTTATTTAACATTTATTTATCGATTTTATCTGGACAGCACCTATACCTATAGTAACTAGTAAGCAACAAAATAGTTTATTTTTTTGAAACTTACTTTGTGTTCTCCGATGTTTTTCACCGAACACACCAAAATCGCTTCCCGCCCCAAAGCGACGGTGACATTTTCCATTGGATTCAAAAACTCTGGCTCCGGTCCATCCTTTTGCACGTCTATAACACAATGACAACAAAAACATATGAGTTGATTAAAAAAATAAAACAAATCGCTATACTTTTAAATCCTTTTTACAGACATGTGTTGTGTGTTTTACTGAATTTGCAACCATAACACCCTACACACGTTTTTATAATTTGTATAATATTCTGGTACCTAGCCCGACCTAGGTATATTTTTTAATCTGGTATCCATATAAACATAAAAATGGTACCTATACACTTGCCTTTAATTAAAGCTTTATCAATATTACTGAAACACTTTCGCAAATAAATCATAGTCATCTGTAATAATAACTAAATTCAGTCGATTATAGCAGACGACGACGACGACGATGACGACGTGTTGGTAACAAGCATAGACCTATAAACTAATGGACAGCACATTCCACTCCGCCCTGCCATCAATTCTAGGGAATCATATTATTATAACTGAGAAAGAAAAATGAAAGAACGAAGAGATAACATAAAGTATTAATCATGGAAGAAATACTTCACTTATTTTTCTGTAACAACCATAAAAATATATGTAAAGGCGGGTTTCCACAATACAAGTACGTGTGTATGTGTATACAAATCCTTTGCTGTGATTGTTTGGTTAGGTTAAGTTACCACACTATTAACCACGATACCGTGTTGTTGGACGTAGCTGAACATTTTTTCACGTGTACAGTGGAAACCCGTCTTAATATTGAAAGGTATAATATGGTTGTTACCATAGACCCACAAGTATGGTAACCACAAAATATCAGTCATTTTGTTAACAATAAAATTTAACAATTGGCATATTTTGTTGTAACACAATTTTTTATTTGCCAGTAGCTGTACACTGTAATAATTACCACTTTTTTCTTTTCTAGCTCAATCATTATCGTACCCCTAACTTCTCTCTCCAAGGGCTGTCCATTAGTTTATAGGTATGCGGTAACAAGTCTTCAACCGTATACCACGACTGGAAAAACCCAATGTCAATATCACATTTTACCACCCTTATATTTTCGGTTTCGCCGGAGTTTTCGTTCAGAATAATGTTAGACTCGGCGTTGTTTTCCTCGAGCCAGAACAGCTGGGGACGACGGAGAACGGCTTCTTCGTTCGTGTGGCGTTAGTTATGGAGTGGCAGCGGCACACGTACCACGCTCGAGTGCCGTAGGTAGTACTTTAATGATGTACTTTTTAAATTTTGTTGAAAGTATGTTTCCACCGCGAAAATTATACAAGGCGTATGGAAAATTATCTTTCGCAAAGCGATTCGGATACGAATGTAAACATTATGCGAACGTGAAAAGCAGAAAACCCCGTCCGGAAACTCTTTAATTTCTCCTCGTCGTCGCCCGCCCGCCCCCGGATACGCGTGCTCTCAAACTCACATTTATTCGGAAGTTTTCCTCAAACTAATGGCTTTAATTAACGACGACGACGACGAGTCTGAACGCGAGGTGCGGCAGTGACTTTAACTCGTTTGCCGCGACGGGTACGGCGGTCGTGTCGTCGGAGAGGGCTGTGTGCTGGTTTTATTTTTTAAGCCAGCGAGTGTCGATTGTTTATCACACAATAATTATTACAGTCTACGTAGTAGGTTACAATAATATAATTGTGTGCAGCCAATTATTTGACGTTTAATATCGATGTCGCAAAGACCGCGAGTGTGGTTGATAACACGATTTTTTTGTGCGCGGAACGACTGCATCGCTCCCGATGTCGATAAATCGTAATTGTTGATAAGACGTCCACAAATAACAATTTATATACAGTTGAAATGATGTGAGGTTATCGCGCATATTTTTACGGGCGATGGAAATGGAATATATCGTCAAAATGTACAAGTGGTGGTTGGGTTTTATTAAAAAAATACATAAAAAAATACCGGCCAAGTGCGAGTCCGAATCGCGCATGAAGGATTCCATACCATCATCATCTATGATAGCAACACTGCTTATATTTTATATTCTAGGATTTTTAGTATTGAGGAGAAGTAATGGTTCTTCCTCCGAACCCTAGGTTAACTCGAAAAAAAAAATGGATTTTTAGTATTTGTTGTTATAGCATCCACGGAAATACATAGTCTGTGAAAATTTCAACTTTCTAACTTTCATGGTTCATACAGCCTGGTGACAGACGGAGGGTCGGACGGACCGACAGCGGGGCCTTAGTAATAGGCTTCCGTTTTACCGTACGGAACCCTAAAAATTAATGTATAGGCGCATTCACAGTTACGTCGTGTGTCGTGCTGTGCGAGGGCTTGGTTGTTATATGGTTACGACTGGTAACCAATATGGTTTAAAAGTTGAGCTGTAGACTTTTCTTGGTATAGATACTCAGTTGCACCTTGGTTATTACATGATACCAAAAAAGTAAAATTCAATCACAATACGATTTGATCGATACGACACGACACAAGACGTACCTGTGAATCCGGCTTATGTGTGTCTGTCTGTCTGTTTGTGTGTCCATATTAAAATGGCAACCATTTGTATATTATTCTGAGATTTTCGTCTGTGTGTGTCTCCATATTACCATGGCAACCATTTATATATTATTCTGAAATTTCCGATGGAATGTTTTGTATATAAATGGTTGCCATAGTGACATGTAAAACATATTATTCATAAAGAGTTGGCAGCCATTATAATATTAATTATTGGCTGCCATTGATTTAAAATGGTTGCTATTTATTATTAGATTTATTATATTATCTAAAATACCGAATCATTTGTTAAATAATATTGAATTCATTATCAACAGATTTAAGTTAATTTAATATTTATATATAATATATAAAAATGAATGTATGTCTGTCTGTCTGTCCATATTACCATTGCAACCATTCATATATTATTTTGAGATTTCTGATGGAATTGTTTGTTTATAAATGGTTGCCATGGGTTTTGAAGCTATTATAATATAACCATGATTGGTTGCCGGGCAACACGGGATCATTTGGTACAGAGATAGATCAGACTTCTGGGCTGAAGATGGGCTAATTTAAAAAGGGAGAGGACCAGCCCCGGGAAGTTCTCAAACAGGGATTTTGAGACAGAACCGTCAAGCAATTCAGCGATCCGGGGCAAAAATGGTTTACGGGTCCACAGGTAGCATATTAAGAGCGGCACTCGGGGGCAATTCCCCCCTTTGCCGACACCTTAACACGACTCTGCATACAAAATGCAAATTTTTAATGGGCAACGAAATGCACGGGATCAACTAATTAAAAATAAATTATATAATATTATAATGCTTATAATATTATTGTGTTATGTAAGTACCTATATTAAAACATTGCATAGAGTCATTCAATTTCAATAAAAAAATTATATACAAGCAAACTAATTTGAACAACTTGGGGTAAACACTATTATTACCTAGTAGTTATTATATAGTGGACCATACATTATATTAATTATCAATAATATAATATAATATATACGTTATGAGCATTCGAATGCCATTATCATTTAAACTTCAATAATATATAATACACTTGAAAACCCAGAATGCTGTACACGTGACATCTAATTTAATCCATATATAGTTTTATAGTGACACTAAACCAATTTTATTCAGGACACTTCTGTGTTACCTTACTCCAATCATTCAAACTTAAAAATTTAACAAAAATGTACAATAGTATTACTAATTCACTACTTGAACTAACCCATTATAAATAAAAATCCTCCAAACTATAATCTTCCTTGGAATATGAAATCAAAAATGTTAATGGTTATCATACAAAAATAAGAAATAAACGTAAAAAAATGAAGTTGACAAAATAATTTCTTGATTTACTTACAATGACTTGGATTAAGTGAAAAAATTTTTAACAAAAACCCCAACACTTTTAGAAAATCGAGGTCCACTACTAAACGAATCACTCTGCATTGCATAAGCTTTTTCTTACTACCAAATTCTAAGTTTAAATGGCGATAAAGTAGGAATTATTAAGTTGAGTGGTGCACGACTACATAATAATATGTACCTATATATGGTGGTCTTATACATAGGTCTCGTGTCTAATCGTTTTCGACTCACAGCGATATTGGAATACAGCCCAATCAACTACTCCTAACTAGCAACTAGCTGTCAAAGTGTTAATTATTTACGTTTTGATTAATAATGAATAAATTGATTTAGTAGTTCCTATAAATTATGTTAACAAATTAGCTCGATTGATTATAAATTCATATTAACTCGAGGATATCAGTGGAAAACTATTAGAACATAATATATATATATATATTATAATATAATCAAATAATATATGCTCGAGATATTTTCCATTCTTGCTCGTTATAGTTGGTTCTATAAATTATATAGATATTAAATTAAATGTGTAAAGAAATGTGTTTATGCTGACTAACCTACAATTAACCATTACTTAGTTTTGTTAGAAATTTCAGGAATAACAGAACTCATACAGCTATATTGTTGAACTAGTTTGAAAAACTATTTACTAAACAAAACAAGTAAGCTACGGCCTACGGATAAGTTGAGTTCATTAAAATAAAACGTTCTTGCTTAAATGTAGTCGATGACATGTGGTAAAAAGGTACTTATTGATTACGTTAATACCTTGTCGATGAATTTAAAAATTTAAAAAAAAATTCTAATCTCTTCTACGTTGGTCGGTATGATATAATAGAAAACAAATATTAATAGTACAACATAATAAAATTATAATTTTGATTAAGTAAGTCGGATAGGATTTTATAGATCGAAAATTGTTCCATAAAATCTATGCCTTATTAGATTTATGTAGAGTCATGTAAGCACTATAAATATAATTTTGATGTATAATGGATAAAATAGTTTAAAAATGTCGAGTTATTAAATACATATTACTGAAATTGAATACCTGTACTTTGGACATAAGTTAGCTGAATTATTGTTTTCTGATATTCAACATATTATTCTTATCGAACATTTTGTGATTTTAAATATTTTTTAATTCATTATTTCAACAATTGATCAGCTGTAAATTGTGTATGCACTATGCAGTATAAAACTTTAATTGCTTATAATTGAGGCAGGTACCTCCTATAGTTAATATATTAATTAAAAAACTTAATAATAATGAAAATAATGATAATAAGTTATTCAGATACTTAAATTATACACTGATACTAATTTAAAAACTAAAATATTATCATGGTAGGTACCTACCCAAAACTAAATAAATATTTAAGTTATACTTCCATCAATAAATATTAATATATAAAAACTCTATAGTTATTTATTTTTTGAAACTACAAAAATTGTATTAGAGAAAATAAGGTTCTGAACTAAGCGATGACTGAATTGGTTATACAATGATGTGTTTTGTTATTACTTTTTATCACCTATTTATTTTTGTAACCGATTAAAGATATTAAAATGTTATCACACAATATAAGTAAATTATTCTTTGGTAAAAATGAAAAAAATGATTAATTTTAATAAATAACGCTTAAGAATGTGACAAAAAATTTCTCATACGGAAATGTAAAAGAAAAGCGTAAATTTATGATCATTTGAATTTTAAACTTGGATGAAATTGGATATTACAAGAATTACTCCGAAACCTTTTTTTGTTATTTTATTGTTATTCAAAAAATGTTAATTGTAGAAACTTGAAACGTTCCACTTTAATTTACTTTAATTATAAATTCGTATATACTATGGAATTTTAAAATCATTTAAACTAAACTTAAGCTATTTACACGAAGAACATATTCACACCTTCATTAAATAAGTACCTACATCGGTTTTTACTAATAAGAATATCTAATAATAATGAATGTTATGATAACTAACAATAATTGTTTTTTGTCATTTGTCATATATTTTTCAACCTTAGCGTATTACTGGTAGAAAAATAACTTATAAGTAGTAATATAAAAACAATATAAAATATGTGTCAGTAGCGTACTCAGGATTTTAGCTCGGTTAGGGTTTCACCTGAGTATAAATAATTTACATTATTTTTTTCTAAACAGTTTTTATACAACAAATCATAGTTTGTCTAAAATTGAGTCTACATTTACAGTATTTAACCTGGTCATCTATAGAGCCTCCTCGGGACGTCCTAAACATAGTAATTATCGATTGACGATGACACACAAAAGTAAAGGTAAACAATATAAAAATAAACGTTGTCAAATGTAAACATAAAAAATATAAATACAAAGTTTAAATCATGATATTAAATATGTTGTGTTCAAATAAAATATGAACTACAAAAATTATTTTACTCGCTCTATGGCATATACAGGTTACGAGCATAGGTATCTGCATAATATATTATTATACTTAATTAAATGCTGATAACTGCCATAAATTATATATTATCAAAACATATTTCACGTAATAACGTTTTAGAAAACAAATAAATACAAATATAATTTATACTTGCGTACAGATATACAAGTTATAACTTATAAAAAAATTCTAGTTCAATATTTGATCACGAAAAAAATATGTATAGGTATAACAATTTGACTTGAAAGATAATTAGTTTAATAATAAATGTTGTTTTCTTTGCTCTGTAATTTTTTTTCTAAATGCGCTTAAGAATATTATAGTTTATAAAAGAAAAAAAAAATTGAATCTTTGCAACACTAGCCGTAAGATTATTGAGTGACTTGGAGCGTTGGCTGCTGATGTGACTGAGAGAAAGTAACTTTCGATGCTACTAGTTCCCGGATGGGTGACCATCCGATTTCATAGTGTCAAAAACCTTGCCACACATGATACACGTGTGCTTACCTACCGTAACAAAGTTACCATACAAACCATAGTCCCTTCAATAGCTAATGGCCACATAATGAGCCAGGCTCGAGTTCAAAAAAAAAAATTTTAATTATTATTGAACTTAATTATTATTTATATTTTCTGACATATCTGAAAATCCTTTTTGATTTTACTACGCAATTCTAGCCATTCATAATTTTATTTACTCACATCCTTGGTTGGTATTCGACAGATATTTAAAGTAAAAATATATTATAACATGGATAGTTCCTCATATAAGTCATAAAATATTACACCCACAATAATTGTCAACTATTGATGTGTTAATTTGTCGTCGTTAATTTTTAACGAAGCAATTAAACACATTTTTTTTTTTTTTTTTGAGTGTTATAATATTATATAATTTACTATAACAAGGGGAAATAATATAATGTAAGCAGAATTTACTAATATATATATAGTAACATAAAAAATACGCAACAAAAAGTATTTGTTTTCATTCTTGGTAAACGTATATATTATTATGTGGGATTGTGCACTCTCTGTTGTAAAAGTAAGTAGAAATCTCTGTTTTTTTTTATTCAATAATATTTTTTTTATATAATATAAATCTGAGTGTATGCGTATTATTAAACAGGGACGTGTGCTCGTGTATACCTTTAATGTGTGTGTATACCTATGCTCACATTATTATAATAAACCCTTAATGACGTACGCTGTACGACTGGAGTGGTGGGTATTAGTTTTACCGCGTTTTGTCGACCCGCTTCAGGCGTTTGAATACAACAACTATTGCGAACGAACATCGTCCACAATCCGTCCAACATTATGCTATTATTGTGGAGGTATTTTACTATACAGGGTGTAACAGGAACAAACTGACCAAAAAAAAAAAAAAAAATGTATGCTACTTAAACTTATGACAAAAGTTGATAAAATTATATATACAGCGTGATTCTTTTATCAAACAACACTCATTATTTCAAAAAGTGTAAATTTTTTTGAAGATATTTTTTTACATAGTTTCAAGTCGCTTATAAAACAACGTTTTTATTAAAAAATTATATTTTTAAATATTTTTTATCCTTATGATTTTTTAAGTTTTTTACTTTTTTGAATAACAACATAGGGTTTTAATTTTATATTCCAAAGCAGAATATTTTTCTTAGTATTTTGATACATGAAAATCGAATTTGGGTTGAGTAGTTTATGAGTTATAAGTAATTAAAGTTTAGACGAGCGGTGAAGTGGACAAACTATTCGCGGGGTAACCCCGAACCACTCCACTCCGCTAGTCTAAACTTTAAATACTTATAACTCATAAACTACTCAACCCAAATTCGATTTTCATGTATCAAAATACTAAGAAAAATATTCTGCTTTGGAATATAAAATTAAAACCCTATGTTGTTATTCAAAAAAGTAAAAAACTTAAAAAATTATAAGGATAAAAAATATTTAAAAATATAATTTTTTAATAAAAACGTTGTTTTATAAGCGACTTGAAACTATGTAAAAAAATATCTTCAAAAAATTTACACTTTTTGAAATAATGAGTGTTGTTTGATAAAAGAATCACCCAGTATATATAGTAAATAGTTTAAAAAATATACCCATGTTAGCAAATTTCCAAAAATAATATTTTTAAAAATGTTATTGCGTACCAAGTTAATTTAATCAAAAAAAAATATTAATATTTTAAAAAATTCTAAACAATTAACTACTTGACTTGGATAAAATGTCTCTACCATCCAAATCTTACTTATAATCAGATTCACAAAATGGCTATTTTGAATTTATTCAAATAAATTTAAATCAAATTTTAAATTTTTATTTTCAATTTTAAAAAATAAAAATATTTGTTTTTTTTTTTTTTTAAACGTGTAACGCAAGGGGCTCTAAATTATATAAAAAAAATTTTAATATTGATTAGAACAAAAGTTATTCCAAAAGTCAGTTGTTTCTGTTACACCCTGTATAAAATATCTTTACTAATATCATTGTTTTTTTGGTATTTCTCAATAATTCATTATAATAATAACAATAATAATAATAGTAATAATAATAATTATTATATATTTTTTAAGCTCTGGCGTATTTAATATTTTTTATTCGACCTTCATGCGAAACGTCGAGCGTCCTATTATTTCACGTAATTCTTTAAGATGATGTCAGCGCACTGTTTGTTTTCTCTCTCTGGCCCACACGTCACATGGACAATACGCATTTAAGCAGAATCATTTTTTTTTATGTTTTAGAGTAATCTTAGAGTAAAAAGAGTAAAATCACCCATTACAAAGACGATAGAGAATATTATTTTTTTTTTTTTGAGGGTATGAGTGTATGACATCGATTTGTCCAAATATTTTCTCAAAAACAATTTAAAGAACATTTAAATTTACAATTTTTTTTTATTTTTAAATTCGAATACAAAGTCAAATTATAATATAAAATATAAAACCGAGATGTCGAACCCTTAAATTTTTATCCTCTATTATTTTTGCAATTGGTGATTTTACTTTAAGAAAACCCCTAAGACACGCTTTTATAGGTGAACGCGTTTTATCTATGTTGCGCTTAGGTCTGAGAGAGAAAACAAATACTGCGATGACGTCATCTTAAGCACCAAACAATTTCAAATTAAGTAATTATGAAAAGTAATTTATTACTGTTAAATGTAATATTTCTTTCAAACACGTCGCCATGACAATACTGTGTGTGTGTGTGTGTGTGTGTGTGTGTGTGTGTGTGTGTGTGTGTGGACGTTTATAAAATAATTTAATATACTTTTTCATATAAGTACACTTTTAAATTGTGTATAGGGTCTTGCATACCATACAGTATAAAGTATAATATTATTATAATGCATACTTGCCATATTATGCTCGTAAATTTACTTTTTACCTATTACCAATACAGATTCTGCTAGCAACATTTAACGTTTTGGATTTAAAATGAAAATATTATTACACATTATGGACTTGTAAGACAGTTAATAAATTATGTAAAGTTAAGTAATATTATTAGGTTTGTATCATTTATCATGGCAGCGGGTATTCTCTTTGTCAACTTATAACGTTGGAACAATTATGTTACAAACTCCTATTTGGCTTTTTACACAGGGTGTTCAAAAAGTTTGAAAACGGTCATTTAAATAATTGGTACTGATAAACGATAGTAATATTATGATATAATTAATGAGGTGATTGAATATTTTACTTAATATAAATATACAGCATTGTTGTCTGTTATTGATATATTGTCATGTAGATATACAAATATGCAAACAGTAATATTATTGAAGCGTTTCCAAATTTATTGAACATATTGTATATCATGACGTGTAAATGAGGTATTATATAGGAGGTATCTCCTAGACTTCAAATGGTAACCTATGGTGCTTAGTATAATAGTAATTTGGACAAGAAATAAACTGAAATAATTTTAGAATTTTTCTGAAGAAAACTATTTATTTTTAAAATAATAAAATACCTAATTGTATTTCTAGCTTTCACCAATTCTGTTAATTTTATTGATGCTTGATTTAATTTTTAGTCAAATTATTTTAATATTCGTTTAAGACGATACAATATTATGCTACTAAATTACTATATTTGAGCAGTGTTCTTTCGATTATTATCATAACGTACCGATCACACACATCCGATTCAATCAATCTATAGTTATAAAAAAGCTCTATAGGGAGCTATCTAACCCTTATTAGAAACGCATAATAGCTTTTGATACCACTTACAAGTCACTCTTAAAACAAAGTAAAATATATAGTTTGAGAAAAGTTATTGTAGGCAGGAAAATAGTATACGTTTTCTAAAAGTTCAGTGCCTAAGCGTTTCACTGCTCTACTGAAATGTTATTACTAGACCTTTGAAACTTTAAAAGCTAGAAAATAAAATTAGTAGACTTTTTTTAAATTGTTTTAAATTGTCCACAATTTGTGGAGCTATAAACTATATCGTTTTAATGTTGAACAAATAGCGTTGTGCATATATTAGCATTTTTAACCAAACCTTTAACAAAAATAATATTTCACCCAAAACTGCAATTTAATTATAGTTAACGTTTTTGTACACGTTTTTATTTTATCGAAACCTTATCAATCTAAAATACATTCATCGTTCCACTCAAAATCTAAAAATATTTGATACATTAGGTATCCCGTATCTGTTGTTAAAATACTAAACTCTATTCAATACATTCATTGATTTCAGTCATTGAAGTTTACTTAAGTCTGTCCTTAAACATATTAGATAATATGTATCTATTCGATTTACATCAATGGTCAGAAAGTTATAAATATATCGGTAATTTAAGTTAAACTTATAGGTACTAGAAAAATATACAAAAGGCAACACTATAGATTTTTTTTTTTTGACGTTCTGGTTGAAGAACGTTCAATGGACCACTGTGGGCTGAATATAAGAAACATAATACCCTATATATGTACAAAAAAAAAACAACATGCAACTTCTTTATAAAAGATTTAACAACTATGAAATACAATATTCAGCACTTATGCGTGACACTTACCATCTGAATTCATAATTTGTGTTATTTTTATTAGTTTACTGAACAATATGCATTATAAATCACTCTATAAAAACTGCGTACATATAATATATTACTGTCTCCGAGATCCAAAGGTTTTTTTTTATAAAAAATATTTTTCAGACCAGTATATTATCGAAAATTTACAGAAAATAACGGAATCATGTCGGAGAGAAATTTAATAGAATTTCTTTTATACTTTTTAATATTTACACACCCGCACAACTATATTTATCAACAATACATTGTCTAATTGTATCAGAATCTTGTACATTTTTGGAGTTTGTCAAGTAGGATACAATGGTCAAATGTTCATATGATTTTTCGTTGCGCTTACATTAGGGGGCTTTAAAACAATTTTCAAACCAATACTGTATTTTATTTTGGAGTGTAATATTTAATCACAAAATCATTATAAAAAAGGTTTAAAAAATCTCAAAACTGTCTAAAACTTTGGAGCGCCGGTCGTTAAACGAATTCGTTAGAATTAATTCTAAAAAAAATAAAACAGACTGGCCTAGAAACACCGCGGCGGTCACCCGCCAATCGTTTCTCCGATGAATAATATATGTATACGTATAACCACCGAAACTCTGGCCATAAATATCCATTATCCACTTAAATTGCGTTTCCGTGCGCACTGCCGCGTTTGCCATCCCGAAGCGCCACCATCAACCGCAGAAATACCTATATCTAAAGGAAGATTGGGAGTGGGGGGGAGTTGTAGGGACAGTTGGGAGGACTGGCAAAAATAAAACATCCGTAATTATCATTAAACATTCTAATCGGACGCAAAAGAGATCACACGCGCATACGATAATGTATATTTATGTCATATATTATCATTATGGAGAAAAGTAAAACAACCATAATATTATTATGTGTATATTTGTGGTTTAGGTTAGGGGTTGTAATGATCGTAACGAATTTCACGCCGTTTGGTATTTTCGCCTCAGCTCTTATATAATTATCGGGTAAGTTAAATTTTAGATTCTGAGCGGAGAGAGGGATCTAGTGGTTTTACAATGGTGTTTATTTTTTTTTTTTTTATCCTGTATACGAAATTTCTACCAGAAGGAGTGCTTCGATTTCAACATTTAGTCCCTTATATCTTAGCAAATTGGATCAAGATGGTACTTTAGAGACGTCATTTTTCGATTTTTTTCAATACTTATTTAATGCCACGAGAAAAACTACCGACGAATTACAAAAAATGGGATTTTAATTTCTGACACTTTGTTTATCGCCATATAAACAAAAA